TGACAAGTATTTGTTCAATAACTTAACATCAAGTTTGCAATTCCCTCTGCTTTTCTTCACAGCCAAGAACAATGGGTTTTGGAGTCAGAAAGACTTGAGTTTTCAAATTGATCCTGCAATTGATTAACTGCATAATACTGGGTGATTTACCTAATCCCTTGTAGGAATAATACTAGACCTAGTTTATATAATTGTTCTGAGAATTAGAACAAATTAGATGATGCATATGTCAAGCACATGTTGAGCACTCAGGAAGCAAAATCTATCATCATCACTAATTATATCGTCATTCCTCCAGCAAAAGCATTCATGAAGTAAAAGAAAAGATGGTAATATTATTATTTCTTCTTTTTCTCTAATACTATGTAGGGTGTAAGTAAATGATTTTCTTCTTTTTCTCTAATACTATGTAGGGTGTAAGTAAATGATTTCTACTCTACCACCACCAAACACTGGTTTACAGATTATTCTGCATCTAGAGATCAGTGTGGTCCCAAGTTAATTCAGAGATTTGTAAATAAACTAGATCAAATCTGGAAATATAATTCAGGCCAGAATACTGAAAGCTACCCTTGACATACCCTTGAATGAAGCTTAATTTCCATATCAGCCCAAAATTAACATGATTAGGGCAGCATTTCTCAAATTCCTTGATCTCAGGGCCCTTTATACTCTTAAAAATGGAGAGCTCCCAAAATTTTTATGTGGGTTATATCTATCAATATTTATATTAGAAAAAATTACCATATTAAAAATTAAAACTTATAAATCTTTTTTTTTAAGATTTTATTTATTTATTCATGAAAGACACACACAGAGAGAGAGAGAGAGAGAGGCAGAGACACAGGCAGAAGGAGAAGCAGGCTCCATGCAGGGAACCCGACGTGGCACTCGATCCCGGGTCTCCAGGATCAGGCCCCGGGCCGAAGGCGGCACTTAACTGCTGAACCACCCGGGCTGCCCAAAACTTAGAAATCTTTAAAATATTTATTAGTTCATCTTAAAACAATTATATATTAATATACAAAATATAGCTTATGATAAATAACTATATTTTACAAGGAAAATTTGATGAGAAGGTAGCATTGTTTTACATTTTTACAAATCCCTTTAATGTCTGTCTTAATAGATGGGTTCAAACATCTGCTTCTGCTTTCATTGCCATGTCATGTGATGTTGTGATATCACCTGTCATTTAGCCTCCAGAAAACCACTATAACATGGCAGAGAATGAGAATACAAAGGCAAGTTATCTGTAAGAACTCATACGAAGATAGCTTTACTGGTGAACTTCCTGAAAAATGTCTCATGGATCCCCAAGGAATCCTCAGACCATACTTTGAGAACCACTGGACTAGGACTAAGTCCTAAGACTGAAGCCACTCTGGTCTATGGTCAAACTCTCAAGACTGTTCTAGTCTAAATCTAGATTAAACTGAGATCAGCCTTTCTGAAATAAAAGGACAAAGTGAAGTCTTCCTGGGTATTTATCCTTAGGTCTGCCTATTATTTAATTTTTTTAAAAAAAATTTATTGATTGATTTGACACAGAGAGAGTAAGAACACAGCAGAGGGAGTTGCAGGCAGAGGGAGACAGAGAAGCAGGTTCCCTGTGAGCAGGGAGCCCAACTTGGGGCTCGATCCCAGGACCCAGGGATCACAACTGGAACCGGGGGCAGATGTTCAACCACTGGGCCACCCAGGTGCTCCAGGCCTGCCTTTTAAAAGACAACATCTAATCAAGAAAATAAACACTCCTGTCAAATGTTTGGTGGTTTACTGCTGATTGTGTCCTTCATCATATTATCTTTTGAAGACAGAGCAAAGAATTCTATTCTTTATGACTTTTTCTTCTTATAACACAGAAGTTTTAGAATATTTTAAAGTATTTTTACTGTGAATATATGTACTAATAGGATGATCATATAGTTTTTCCTTTCTTCCTTTTATCAATATTCTATATATTGAAATTTTAAATATTTATTTATTTATTATTTATTTATTTATTTGGGGGAGGAAGGGCAGAGGAAGAGGGAGGATCTCAAGAAGACTCTTCACTGAGCACAGAGCTGGACATGGGGCTCAATCTCATGACCCTGAGATGGTAACCTGAGCAGAAATCAAAAGTTGGACACTTCACCAAGCGACCCAGGGACCCTCCTATTGAAAATGTTTAACTCTACTTCCTCACTAATATTTTTGCTTTAGAAAATACTTATTGTTTTTAAGTTTGTTTTTTTTCCCCCATTCATGAGAGACAGAGAGAGAGGCAGAGACACAGGCAGAGGGAGAAGCAGGCTCCATGCAAGAAGCCCGACATGGGACTTGATCCTGGGTCTTCAGACCATGCCCTGGGCTAAAAGCAGCGCTAAACCGCTGAGCCACCTAGAAAATACTTATTTTGATGAGAAATGTGTAATTTATACTTAACATATAATGAGCTTAGTTCTGTTATTGTTTTTTTTTTAATTTACTTATTCATAGAGACACAGCTAGAGAGAGAGGCAGAGAAAAGCTAGAGAGAGGCAGAGGCACAGGCAGAGAGAGAAGCAGGCTCCATGCAGGGAGCCTGATGTGGGACTCGATCCTAGGTCTCCAGGCGGCGCTAAACCGCTGCGCCACCAGGGCTGCCCAGTTCTGTTATTGTTAAAAGAATTAATCAACATGTTTTTAGCTCTCAGTTTTAATTTCTAACTTTTACTAATCTTTGCTGTATGCCTAAATATAACCCACATAAAAGAAAGCTGTTTGGGATCAGTAATTTTTTAAAAGTGGTAATGGAGTCCTGGGACCGAAAACTTTGGGGACCACTGTTTTAGGACATGAATGAGATTCAGAAGTGGCAGAGTCTTTCAGGGACCCTTGCCTTTACATGGTTGCTGTAGCAAGGTGAAGAAGTTCTGTATGGAGGGAGGCCTGTGAATCAAATCACCCCAACCAGTGAGGAAGAGAAGTCACAAAGGCTTAGGGCACGGACTAAACCAGGAGAGATCTGTTCACAAAGTACATGACCCCAGACGTGACAAAGAGACCTCAGGAAATTCCCCCCAAAGATCTCGTGAGCCATCCACATGTACCCACGTATCAGGACATCATCTCAGGGAGAGAATCAGGGGAGAAGTTATCTGAGAACCTGAATATTTTTGCATAAGGGAAATTAAACATTAGACAAGCCAATTACAGATTGGTCTACACTTTAAAACAAATGGCACATTTCCATTATTTCTTTTCCTAATAACCAATGAGTGAATATTTTTGCATAAGGGAAATTAAACATTAGACAAGCCAATTACAGATTGGTCTACACTTTAAAACAAACTGCACATTTCCATTATTTCTTTTCCTAATAACCAATGAGTGAGCGCTCACAAAAGAAACTAGGTCAGTGGGGACATAGTGGGCGGCTCAGCGGTTGAGCGTCTGCCTTTGGCTCAGGGCTTGATCCCAGATCGGGATCAAGTCCCACATCGGGCTCCTTGCAGGGAGCCTGCTTCTCCCTCTGCCTGTCTCTGCGAATAAACAAATAGGAAGAAAGAAAAAGAAAAGAGAAGAAAAAAGGAAAGAAAGAGGAAGGTAGAAAGAAAGAAACAAACTGGGTCATTGACAAAAATAAGTTTTCTTTGCCCATAAGAGCTGTAACAGAAGTCACAAGGGCAACCCAAGTACCTAGAACCAAAAGTCCCTATAGTACATAAGCACCGAGAGGATTGAGACGGGGTTGGGACTACGAAGGCAGAACGGCCTAGTGGTCTGTGAGCCAGAGGGCCCACGCTTTGGTCTTAATTCTGGTATCTGATTGCTAACGACGTGACTCTTCAGAACCCACACTTATTCTTATTCGTGGAATGAGAACCGCAGCTGCTCGGTTTTACTTAATCCGTGTTGGAAAGCGGCGTCTAGGAACTCTTGCTCTCACCTACGAAGTGCGAACCCACCGGAGGCTGCTAAGACACTAGCAACAGAACATCACGAGGGCCACGGGGCTGCCCTGTGCCGGTCCCACCGTCGAGGGGGAAGCCCGCGGCAAGTCAGCCCCGGCACCGAGACCGGGGGTAGAAGGATGCGAAGAGTCAAGACCAAGCTCAGCGAGCGGGCCGGCTCGGAAGGGCTTCCCCGAGGCGGGGACACCTCATCTCGGAAAAGAGCAGGAGTCTCAAAAGGAGAAGCATAAGAGGGGATCCCTGGGTGGCGCAGCGGTTTGGCGCCTGCCTTTGGCCCAGGGCGCGATCCTGGAGACCCGGGATCGAATCCCACGTCGGGCTCCCGGTGCATGGAGCCTGCTTCTCCCTCTGCCTCTCTCTCTCTCTCTCTCTGTGTGTGTGTGACTATCACAAATAAATGAGAATTTAAAAAAAAAAAAAAAGTCCTGCCTGTCTCTGGAAGAGGCTGCTGTAGCTGACTTATTAAAAAAAAGAGAGAGAGAAGCCTAATAAACAAAGGGCAAGGAGGCAGACACGCTTGAGGTTGTTATGATGGATAAATAGATCTTAAGGCTCCTTTAAGCTAACTAGAGTCTTTCTTCCAAACACGTGGTCCAAAAAAATTTTTTTTAATTTTTAAAATAAAAAAACAAAAAAACAAAAAGCCGTGGTCCCGGAGGATTTCAAGTCCCACCTCAACGAGGGGGTCCCCAGGGCAGCCTTGGGCCACGGGAGCCCAACAAAGGCGGGCCTGAGAAAGGGGAAACGGCGGGGCGGCAGGCACGGCGCGCGTCCCCGGAGGGGAGGGCCGCCCGGGCGGACGCTCGTCGCTTCGGGAGCCAGAGTCCGCCCTCCGGCTTCGATGCCCGCGGGGCCCCCGGGGTGTCCGAGGCCGCCCGCCCGGCGGGGGCCGCGACCGGAACTCCCCGCAGGGGCAAAGCCTGAAGTCGCGGCGGCTGACGCCCACCCCCTCCCGCTCCCGCCCCAGCCGCCCCGCGGGGAGACGCCCGCTCCCCCGTCCCCGCGCCCCCGCCGCCCCCGCCGCCCCCGCCGCCCGCGCCCCCGCCGCCCCCGACTCACCGCTCCCCAGGCCCCCGGCTTCCGCGGTTACCATGGCGACGGCGCACCCGTGCGCGGTGGCGCCGCCCCGAGCGCTGCGGTTCCGGCTGCGCGCGAGGGTCAAGGTGGCGAGGCGGGAGCGGCGGGAGCGGCGGGAGCGCGAGGGCGGGCGCGGAGGAGCCCCTCGGGGTCGGCCGCATCGCGGCGTCCCGGGGGGGGGGGGGGGGGGGGGAGGTGCTGCTCGGCCTTTTATTTTGTAGACTTTTCTGTCCTGTGATGCTTATTTTACTTTCCAATGAGAAAAAAATAAAATTTAAAAATCAGGCGTGCGTATGTATTGGAGGCAGGTCCCTCTAAGTCTTAGCTTTGGGCTTTGAACTAAAGAGTTTTCCAGAAATGCAAGAATGCTTTCTGAAAAACTACAGAGGATTGTAGTCATGACGGGCAGCTTGCTTAATTTTCGAGGCCCTTAGAGGTCTTTCTCTTAGGGTATATGGTCATTGTCACCAACGAGTCCGTTTCCTGAGACCTCACAAGTGCCCGCTGTGTCAGGAGTGGAAGGACCTTGGAAATTAACGTTTAGGTTGGTTGAGGAATTTAAGATCCAAAGCAGATGACTTTTTTTTTTTTTTAAGGGAGGATGGGAAGGGGTAAGACAGGGGCATCAAAAAAAAAAAAAAAAAAGCCAGCAGAGAAGAGCCACGCTTACACAGAAACTACATAAATGTCCACATTAATCACGGAGTGAAGACAGCTAGGGAAGGAAAACATTCGTTTCTTTACCGTTTCTACAAGGACACCGTTAAGGAGGAGGTAATATTTTAGAAGAGATCAGAATTTGAGCTGAAGACTGGAGAGTCTAGTTTTAAAATGAATATTCGGCCTAAGAACCAAGCAAAATATCTCTATGATAGATCTGAAGTTCTGGAATAAAGAATAAGTTTGGGAAAAAATTTAACTGTAATTGTTAAATTTCGCTTATGCAAAGTAGTTGTAATAGTCAAAATATTAGAGTTTGACATTATAGGTAGGAACAATTGTCTAAAAGTTCTGTCATCTGCTAGCTCACTCCTGCAGACAATATATAGCACATTTGCTCTGCCAACCATTCATTTCCTACTGAAGCTGTTGGAGGAGTAAGACATTTTAGGTATTTCACTTCTGATACTTCTGATAAGTGTGTACTACATTTTTCATAGTCTGGTTGGCTTCTTTTTAACATCTGGATGGAAGATGACTTTTTTTTTAAGATTGATTGATTGATTTATGATAGACAGAGAGAGAGGCAGAGACACAGGAGGAGGGAGAAGCAGGCTCCACGCAGGGAGCCCAACACGGGACTCCAGGATGGCGCCCTGGGCCAAAGGCAAGCACGACGAAACCGCTGAGCCACCCAGGGATCCCCATGAATCTGTTTTTAATTAATCTTCACTGGGTGTGAAGAATTCCCAAATACAACTGTTTATGCAAAGTCTTAAGTGGATTTCAATACCGAAAGTCAAATAGAATTCTTAAAGATTATTTTTAGTTCTCTGAATTCTAGAAAGGATGGGAAGACTCTCAGTAGGTCTGAGAAACCTAAAAGCAAAGGGCCTTGTTCTCTGCTTAACTCCTGTCAGAAACAACTGTGATTTATTTAGGCAGGCTAGGTTTGAAACAGTCTTATGAAGGAGAATTCCGGCCTGAGGGTGGCCTAGATACAGCAGAAAGATTTCTAAGATCCTCTCTACATCCCATCCCCTGCCCCACAAGTTTGGCATGAGAGTATTGAAAAGAACCAGTGGATCTGAAGGGGCCAAATTGATGTAAAGAACCCAAATAAGACGGTGAAGTCCTGGTGTACAAAAGGCTTAAGGAGAAGATGAGTTAAGCAGTATTCAAGCCCTGCAGAAATTAGGTCAGCTCCAGAAAATTATGGTGGAGGAGGAGGTTTCCAAACTGATTGAAATTAATTTTTTCTACCCTAAGAGAATGGGTCCTCTGAATAGAAATTATTTTAATTATTATATTTCTTGAATTCCACAGTTCATAGACCAGGAATCCTGTTCTTTTTTTTTTTTTAATTTTATTTACTTATTCATGAGAGAGGCACAGAGGAATCATGTTCTTTATACAATGTTAATTTTTTTTACAATGTTAATTTCTGATGAAATAACAAGATAGACTAGTTGAAAGTTATTCCAGGGTAATGTAATGTGCTACATTAATCATGGTATTTCATTGATTGCTGGCCTGTTACATACTGAGTGCCACACTAAGTGATTCATGTAAGTCATTGCTGCGGCTCCTGGGTGGCTCAGTGGTTGAGTGTCTGCCTTTGGCCCAGGTCATGATCCTGGGGTCCTGGGGTGGAGTCCTGCGTCAAGCTCCCACAGTCAATCTGCCCCTCCCTCTGCCTATGTCTCTGCCTCTGTGTGTGTGTGTGTGTGTGTGTGTCTTATGAATAAAAAAATAAAATAAAATCTTAAAAAATGAATAAAAATAAATCATCACTAATTCCCATACCACTCTTTGAAGGTGGTATTACTACTCTGAAACTGATACTCAGCAAAGTTGAGTCACCTACCTAAAACCACACAGCTAGAGAAGGGCTAAACCAGAATTTGAACATAGGTCAGGCTGGTTTAAATCACCACAGAATTGGCACTGGTTAGCTATAAACAAATTAAATATTAGAGGATGCCGGTCCAAAATTATAATTTGATTTCAAAATAATCTATGTTAAGATCCCCTTGGCAGTAATTAGATACTAATGCCACTCCTGGTATGTGACTAAATAACTGTTTCTGCATATCACTCCACAGTTGAGAAGTAGGTGATACTGAACATCCATTGTTTTTGCCTGCTCATCCTTCCTCTTCTGATTATAAGACCCAGTTTTCTAGGATGGAACCCCTGTGGTACATTCTCAGTCCATGTAGTTTGGGGTGCAGATCCCACTCCAGATCAAGTCCTGGCCACACAGTGTTTTCTATACTCCTGGTTATAACAATCAAGTCAGGGGCAAAAAAAAAACAAAAAACATAGAACATAAATCAGTGGAATGAAGCTAATCCTGAGTTTCCGGCAGAGCTGTAAGTAATAGGCATTCTTTTTTTCAGCAGGGGTTAAAGACAAGAGGACAACCTGAGTTGGGACTAGCCATCTTGCCACCACATGGAGAGAGTTTGACAGAACAGTGGAAAAGCCAGGAACTGAATAAGAGATCGAAATCTGATGCTGGTTGCTTGAGCCCTGGAGGTAGACATGCCTGAAGCTAATTTGTATTCTCCTTTTTCAATTACTACAATAAATTACTATTTTCTAAATAATCCCCCCCAAAAAAAGGATTGGATTTCTGTTACTTGTAACATCAATGCCCCATAGTATGGAAGGGGGGAAATATAATATGGCTTTATTTTAGAAACATGCTATTCTTTGAGATAAATACATGAAGTTTGGGAAGGATAAATTTACAGTTAGGTGTTTCACTTGTGGATGAACAACTGAGTATAAATATTATTAGTGAGAGGATAAATGTAAACCTGGAGGCAGGTTTCTAGCAGGATGCTCTAGTATTTTCACTCTCTCCATTTCAACATCTTTGTGTCAGTGACTTAACTATAGCCCTAGAAAGCGTACTTAACAGATGACCCAAAGATCAGAATAATAAATAATATGATAGAGGATGGCAGAATGAAAATCCAAAACCAAAGGACAAATAGAAATTCAATAGGCAAAGAAGTGGGAAAAGGCATTCCAAAAGAAATTTGTAAAAAGGTATGGAGCCACAAAATAAATAGCAAAATAATTGCATAAGTCAATTGAAAGAGGCCAAGAATATGTGGTTGGGAGAGGTGAGAGACGTAGTTAAAGGGGTTAGAAGAGGTCAGACAGCAGGGTGAAGAACAGTTTGGAGAAAGACAAGAAAACAGGCACACAGAGAAGCCAAGAGTGACTCCCAGGTGTCTATTTTGGGTGACCAGGTAGCTAGGGGTCTTCCAATTCAGAGAGATTTTGAAGAAAAGCAGGGTTAGAATCAGGATGATGTCTTCAGTCCTAGACAAGCAGAGGCAGAAATATCAGGATGCCTCCAGCCAACATACATTTTACTCTAAAGCTCAAACGACCCTACCTGTTTCCCTGCTCACCGTGGAGTCTGCTTGAGATGCTCCTTCTCCCTCTCCCTCTGCTCCTCCCCTACTAGTACAGGTGCCCTCACTTTCTCTCCCTCCCTCCTTCTCCCTCCCTCTCTCTCTGTCTGTCAAGTAAATCTTTAAAAAAATAAAGCTCAATAGACAACACTGGAATATAAACATAAATTTGGAAGTCATGGCATATAAATGTTATCAAAAACCTTCAGAGAGGATGGAGTCATCCAAGGTGAAGACATAAAAGAACAGAGTGCTGAGGGCAAGCAGTGGGGATAGTTAGGTTAAGGAGAATGCCGAGCAAGATAGGGAGAGAATGAACAGACCCAGGTGAATGCAGCAATATAGAAGCCAAAGAAATCGTTTCAAAAAAGACTTGAAAAAAATGACAATGGACTTTGGCATAAGGGGAAACCTTTATGAGATCTATTTTAGTGAAGGGTGGTAGGCAAAATCAAGATTGTAGTGGACCGAGGAGTGAATGAAGGAGATCAGGAAGTAGACCACTAGGAATAGAATATTCTAGCTTTGAAGAAGGTAGAAGAAAAAACTTTTAAGGAAAACTCTCTAATTGCAGCAAATACTTTTATTTTTAACGTAAGATAGGTTTGGCATTTGCCAGACATAACATCAGGGTAATTGATTTAACAACTGTAATTGGAAAGGAAGTAGTGGCAGTAAATATCTGCTATTCTTTTGAGAAATTCCAATAGAATGTAGAGGGAAGAAATTGCTCAGAAGTTAAAGGAATACAAAGTATCAAGGGAGATGTTGTGGCAGGGAGAGGATCACAGAAGCCTGAGTGTGTCTATAGTGTGACAGCAAGGAACTTACAGAAAGAGGAGAGTAAGAATAAAGAGATGACTGAAGTAGTAAGATGCTAAAGGCAAATGGAGGGTAAAGGACTAAAGTATCTATGGAGTGATGGCGTCGAATAGGAGGAACTTCACTTGGTCTTCTAATTTTGAA